AGACAAAGTTACGTATTTTTAGATCTAGTCATAATCGTGTAAAAAGAGCGGAGGCTTCGATCTATCCGTAAAAGGAATTGCTTATGAACTGCGTAGTCACTGAATGATACAAATTCTGTATACACAAAGATGTAATAGCAAACAGAAATCATAGCACGAATTACCATATTATTTTTTTATACTATCAGTAGATGCCTTGAAGCATGTCTAGACATGTTTTATTTATTGCGAGGTCGGAAAAAAGGGTTCACTGAAAGTACCCTAAATAAAGATACAAAATAAATTATAATTTGAATATGTAGTTCGACATAGAATAACTATTAATAAAATAATCGTAGGTTTAATGTGAAAGGTTGTCTAGAGATCTAAACTGTTCTTTCTATAATAAACTTTAATACGAGATTTAGATCACGCAACCGTAATTATAACACCTTCTATCTTCAGATTTACTCAAATAATACTTCATATTATAACCCAAAAGTTCGAATGTGTCGTCGATACAATGAAATTTTTGTCTCGAATAGAAATATAGATGTTTTTCATTTAACACTGGTCCAGTTCCGGAGACAATAAAATTTCCACCGTAAAGAGACAAATTATATTTAATATTGTACCAATTTTTTTTTCTTTAAATAAAATAAAATTCTGTTAACATGATAATTCATTGCATCACGTAGTTATATATTATTTTCTGTTTAGTTTACTTTTCTTTATATATCCTTATCTAGCGTATATTGAATGCCTCTATATAATTTAGCTTTTAGGCATACATAGTGTTGGATTACAATCCAGTCTTGTACAGAACTACACGCTCCTAATTATATTATTATATTGATTGTAATCTGTTTTGTATGCTAATAAATAAATAAATAAACACTGATTTTCAACTAAAACCCATGTGAGGGTAGGTATATGATAATGATTAAAAAAAAGTGTGCAATCGCCAATCCTTCTTCCCACAAATTGAAGTCGCTTATTTTCCATTTTACTCTCATAAAAAGAACCCCATTTAATCATTAATTATCCTTTTTTATACAACAGTAATTACAAACATTCCACCTGATGGTGAGCAGTAAACGTCAATAATAATACATGAACAGTATCACGATCATCACGTTATCGTCTGGTGTCACTCATGCATTAAACTTAGTTTGAATGAACTTCTGCCGAGGTTTTCTCTAGAGGCATAGAGTTTTACAAAAGCATATTAAGGTTTCTTAGAGGTCGATACCCACACGTGACACCCCTAGTGTGTAGGTGTCCAGGTTAGGCCGTATGCTTGATTGCCATTATTGAAAAAAAAAACATACCAAAAGATTGTAATGCCTCCATATCCTCAATATATATTATACAATATTTGTATAACCATATATGTTTTAAATATGTATAAATACATTTTTATGAAAATGTACTTATTATTTTAACATAAAAAATACTTGATGATCTGTTTGCCAGTGAGCACTGCATGCTTACCATACTTTTTCAATGTTTCTTATTTGTTACTAGTTGTAGTCCGCGGTTCTACCTAATTGAATTTCTTAATTATAATATTTTTATTTATTTATACCTACTCTTTATTACACCAATTACAGAACAAAAAGAAAACAATTAAAATAGAACATATACATTGATACAAAATCCGGTCTTATCGCTAAGCAGATAATAATACAGATTGTATTATTATATATAAAAAAAAGGAATAATACAATAATATTGTATTATTGTATTATTATTGTAATAATACAATAACATTTTATTATTCTTATTTTTTTATAGCTGGAATTTATCGCATTTTCTTAAAACTTTTAGTTTTTATTTTAATCCGCTAGACTCATTATATAATTATGTAAAAATTTTCGCCACTCAATGTCTATCATAAAATAAGTTTACTTGTACATTTATATATTTATACAACTACTTACAAAAATAAAGAGAAAAAAATGCTATATGTTATCTACATACATAGTTACTGTATTTAATTAAATTAAATAAAATATTCATCTATCTCCAAATATATTTAACTCTCTCTGATTTAAAATATTATTACAATAAGAATATATCCTCGTGACTTTCTTCGTGAACCCTTTATCTCTCTTTCCTGTAAGAATTTCTAAACGTTCTTTCTTAACGTATGTCTGTAACATATTGAAACTATCTACCAAACTTCAACCGCGTAAGCCAAATAGTTTAAGAGTTTCCTTGATTAGACATTCTCATTTCAACTTTAGTTAAATAACGACTGATAACGTCGCCAAAATTTAACCAATTTTCCTCTTTACAACCGACATAATTTTTGATTTTAATATAAACTTTTTTCGTATATATATCGCTTAAGCGATAAGACCGCCTTTTGTACCTGTATACTATGTTATATGTAAGTATAATATTGTTTTGTTTTGTATTTTTTCTTTAAGGGTGCAATAAAGGTAAAATAAATAAAATTATTTATAAAAATAAATAATCTAACCTAATTACTAATTCCTTCATCAATATTCACGGAATTAAAATATGTAATTGATAAATTAAAGCAAAATTAATTATCACGTAATTCATTTTAATTATTATACATAGTTATTCAATTTCACGTAATTTACATTAGTATTTTTATTTAGTAGTTTTTGATTTGACTTCGTAATTATTTTGTGTACTAATTATTACACGCTCATTACCACTTATGCCACTGTGTTGAGTTATCACCTTAGCTCACTTTGTATTAAAATTATTTTATTTTCTGAGATCAATAAAGAATGTATAATAAATTCATTGCGAATTTGACGATGGGTTAACAGATCTGATTCATACTAATCTGAATTGCCTCGCCAGCGTAAACCGTTAGCGCTAGTTGGTGCACCATTTCATTATCATCCATAAAAAAAATGTAAGTGGAGAATGACAAATATGAATGAGGTAGCTTATCGTGACAAATTCACTAAGAAATTTATTCATTTATTCTTTAATGCATATAACTTGTACAAAGGCGAGCATAATGCCGTAAACCAGCTAACCTTTAAGTATACAGAAAGCGTTGTGGGACAGTTATGTCAAAAAAACAATCACAAAGTTACTAATAAATATTACATATATAATAAATATGAAATGCAAATAAATATATACATATAATAATATATATAGTACACCTGATGTTATATAATGTCATACATTAATATAGATAAATATAATACTAATACAATGCAATACAGTTATAACTGATTATGGTGATTCAAAAGAAAATTAAATAATTTCTTTTATTATCACGATGGTTTCTAGAGGGAACCGCGTGGAGGCCAACCTAACGTGGTATATTGCTAGCAATAAGATCGTTAGACTACATTACTAACAATCCACTTTCCTCCCTGCATCATTACGTTATCAACCATCATATATAAATACTAGCTGATCCCGCAAACATTGTTTTACTATATAAATTAAAATCGCTATTTAAAATATTGGTTGGTGATAGAAGGGTGAAAATTTAAGGTTGTATGTATTTTATAATGCCACTTTATAAAATGATAAAAGAAATCTTGCCCAAAAAATAAAAACATATGTTTGGGATGGATTACCATTTCGATGTATGGAAAATAGATAGTAGCCGATTCTCAGACTTACTGAATATGCATATAAAATTTCATAAAAATCTGCCAAGCTGGTTTGGAGGAGTATAGTAATTAACAGTGTTACACGAGAATTTTATATATAAAATACACGTACATATAAGGTGAGAACCACATTTATTGGGTATTGCATAGTTAATAGCACGAGACTACATGATTTGTTACCATTCTGTGAAACTCTACTGCAGTACAATGAAATAAGTCCAATTGTGAAGTTACAACTATGCTATTGAATAGAGCCCTTGTGAGTGGCATTTATTGTGTATGAAAAGTTATGAAGCGTTAAATTATAATATTCATTTGGTAAAAACTTGTGTATGATATGATATATATCCTTACTATAATATAATAAATGCGAAAGTATCATTTTCATTATCATTTTCACGCCAAAATTACTGAATCGATTTAAATGAAAGGTACACGAATCTAGTCTAGACCCTGAGAAAGGACATTGGGTACTTTTCAATGCGAAAAAGGGTTATAAGGGGTTGAAATGGGAGATGAAAAGTTGTATAGAAATTCGTCATTTTTCGTTCGTCAAATGATGAAAATTTTTTCTGATCTTTTTGGGTTAGATTATTAAATATTTTTTCTTTATTTGGTCAAGATTTAAAGATTATTCATGTGGACGAAATCGCGGGCATAGCTAGTAATAAATATATGCAACCATGTGCTATAAATTTGTATATTGTATACGTAAGGTCCTTTTGTTATGTGGGTGTTTAATATAAAAATCTGTTTTATGAATTTCATGTCATGATGTTAAGAGTAGAGTTACAGATATTGTAGAAAAAATCCTTAACTTCTGTAGTATTTGAACTCGTATTTTATTTAGAGAAACAAATGAAAAATATTCTATATTGTATGGACATATATCTATTTAAATTATTTTTTGATTATTTTTATGAAATTCTTATGATAAATTCAAATTACTGATTTAAAATGAAAATAAAAAAAAAATATTATAGAATAAAATACTCAAAAATAGAATAGTTATGGAATAATCAGCAACTATTCTTAAAATATAAGAATCCATAAGATCAAATTTATTTCGAAAAATAGAAAAAATGAATAGAAATGTATTTTCAACAGTTGCTCTTTTTGGAGAAAAATTATTATGTAACGTATAGAATTAAAATTAAAATATGGTAATAATATACAGTACGTAATTAAATAAACTATAGTAATAAGAATAAATATACATATGAATAATTTATACATAATATTGGGGCAAATAAAATTTGCAAATAATCTTGTATCAACCGCGAAATCATTACGTTAATCAAATCTAATATTCGTACATATAACACGAACAAATGTTTAAAAATCACTTGTAAATTAATGTATTCTAAAATACAAATGTGACATTAAAAAATTAAAACTTACCATCGGTAGTTCCGTGGACTTTTAAAAAACCAATTCACCGCACACGCATTCCATATTTCGTCTCATTAAATGTACACGTTTATATCACACTAGACCACTGTCACTATATTCCACTATCATAACTTCAATATATCGAAAATCCGGTAGAATTTCAGACAGAGAACACGAATCCGGTACGTCCAAACACGAAGTCGCTTCGTGCCAACTGAGGAGCTTATGGGCGTAGAGTATGCGTGAACTGTTCACCCCGCTCTCCCCTGACCATGGTACCATAATTTTAGCCAGAATTCCACCCATAAAAATATTTATTTCGCGACCGTATTGCGCAATGCATAAATTGCGGAAAGCAAACATGCACGTAAACGTCTTGGGATACGCAATATAAATTATTTGCGGTGTATTGCTTAAATTCGTAGCGTATTCCGCATTTTTGGGAGGAATGCCAGGTCTGTTTGAGGAATAGGTCTAATTAAGCCCGATTTCACTCGACTTTCGGACCGAAAGGCAGGAATGAAAGGCACAGAACGTGTAACGGAGATTAATTAAAATAAGTGTTTTGTGAAAAGGGCTAAAATGGGAACGTGGTCGAAATTCTGATCAGCATTGAGCGGGAAAGTGTCGCAGTATTCGCTTTTTTTAAAGACATTGAGTTCAAGATTTACAAGTAAACAGTCTTTTGAAATATTTTTTTGTTAAATTAAAAAGTTGTGTTTCAAGTTATGTGTTTACATTGTTTTTAATCCGACTTCAACAATGAACAGATTCTCATGTTGATTGTATATTTTTATACAAATATCATCTTTTTCTTATTTTTTATATTGATGAATTGATGGATTTTATTTCGAATTATTATTAGTGGCATATATCGAATAAAACTTGAATAATTTAATGAAAAATAAACACTAAAACACTACGAATTTTATACTACTACAACTTATTAATATACTATTATATATATAATATACTACTATTATTATATAACTTTCATAACACAAGCTGCTTAGCTTGGAACTAGGTAATACTATGTGAATTATCCTGAGATATTGTGTTGTTATTATTACACAGTATAAAAGTATGATTTTTATTTAATTTTAATATTTTTTTCAATTTACTATATATACATATAATATTAATTTTAATACCAAAATTGAATTATTAGAAAAACAGTTTCATAGAACATATGATAACATAATGTATATTGTATTCTAGAAAGTGAACGTTGTAAGTTATTAACTACGGTTGAGACTGACTAACCGGTTGGTTAGTTAATCTTGTCATGTTTAATTTAATCTTTGATTAAAGTTAAGTATCGCAGATTAAAAATAAAACTAAACGACTAGCACTGAGATGTAACTAAAGAATGTTGTAAACAAAATATATAATTTTAACTTACTTTTAAAATATATTATAATTTATAGACCCAAGAAATACCAATATATTGGCAAAGTTTACTCTCTGGTGATGAAAACACAAACCAAATTATGCCATGAGATAACGGGTAGCCGTCTCTAGAAACAAATCACCTCCACTCTCTCTACTTTATTAAATAGAGCATTTCAGAGAGTAGATTTGTTAAAGTAATTCCAACTCCCAAATTCTTCAACTCCTCAGAACTATAAATTAATATATTCAGTTATTGATGTAAGTCAGACTTGAACCTAGAACCTTTAAAGTCACGTACTATTTACGTATGAATTACAATTCTTGATCCCGATTCTATGTATTAAATTTATTACAAATACGCTGTCAAATCTATTTTTAATGTTTATAATTACTATTATATAAGTATGAGTTACAATTAGTAGTCATAATTTATTTTTTACCCTGGACAACTAACATGTTCATATGGACATGAAGGAGTTGGGCCTGTCAAATGACGATGCTAACCAGCGAATGAATGACGCCTCAAGATTAGGAAAGCCCTCCCGGGTAACAGGAAGAAGCGAGGATAAAGAAAAAGTAGGCTCTTTTTCTTTATCCTCGTTTCTTAACACAGCGCCATCTAGTTCCAAGCAATCAAGCAGCAGAGCTTGTGTTATGGGTACTAGACAACTGATATAAATACTTTTTTATTTTATGAAGACATAAATAATGTACATTGCATTTTAGATTCGATTCTTTGAATTTCTTCTTAACATGCTGTAGAATTTTTTTAAAACATAACCTCTACTTTGTCAGTCTGGTAAAAACAGCCGACACAGAAAAGTGATTAAAAACACTAACTGTTGACGGAGTGGCGCCATAATGAGGGCAATTTCGCTAAGAAATATAATCTTTACTGCCGTCATCCGACGTTCCCAATGATTACTTATCCCTTTCAAGTTATCCTTTCCCGGAAGCAAGCGAAGTTTATTTTGAACATTTTTAGAAAATATTATTTTAATTAACTTTAACACTTTCAAACACTGATTACTTGCTTGCTTGCATCAAAATAAGTAACCTTCTTTTTTTATAAATAAACAAATAATAACCCTGGACAATTAACATAGTGCCATCTAGTCCCACGGCAAGCAGAGCTTGTGTTATGGGTACCAGACATATATATAGGAAACATCCAGAGCGATACAAACAATCGTACTCATGAATATAAAAGTTTGCACCATGCAAGGAATCGAACCCGTTGCTATCGGAAGTAAAGCGATGTTAACCGCTAGACCACCGAGGCGTCAAATTATATTCTTTCTTTTACTGTAGAATCTATATTTTGTTAACTGATACTGATACTATATCACATTGTTTTTAACCGTTGCTTCATGTCAGATGGAAGAATATGTACAAGAAACTTGACTTTTTTATGGATTTAGAATTGTCATGCATATTATTATCCACATTTCACTGATTAATGTTGCACCACTTACTGTGACATAAGCCATCAGACAGTCTAAATTACATAGAAAAAGTCTCTAAACATATAAACTTCACTACCAGTCATACAGCTATTTAGTGCTTATATTAAGCTTAAACAAAAGTTGTTTAATTCTATTCTTATACATAACTGGCTCTTGTATATAAAAGTTAAATTGCTTATATTAAAATTAATTAACAAGAGCAACATTAATTGTACAAATATGTATATTACAAAGATGAAATTTACTTTAATCAAAGTTTCTTTGCAACAATAACATACAACGTTTTCCAAGTAATGGAGCTTGTGTAAAGTTGGGAACTCTCTTCCGTTTTGATCGACATGCGAATTGATAGGAATAAATAAACCATGTGGCCTAAGAGTGTATTATTATATATAACTAGCTGTCCCGGCAAACGTTGTTTTGCCTTAAAATAAAAGAAAAAAAAATTTGAAAAACATTTAGAGGGATGAAAAATAGATGTTGGCCGATTCTCAAACCTACTCAATACGCTCACAAAATTTCATGAGAATCGGTCATGAAAAATAGATTTATGTTGGCCGATGAAAAATAGATGTTGGCCGATTCTCAGACCTACTCAATACGCTCACAAAATTTCATGAGGATCGAAGGAGTATGGGAACGAAAACTGTGACATGAGAATTTTATATATATTATTTTTTATGGATGATAATGGAATGGTGCACCCGCCTGCGCTAACGGTTTACGCTGGCGGGGCACCAGTGGAGGATGATAAGATGAGCATGAGGTCAGGTCAGTTAGCCCATCGCGACTTCACCAAGAATTTATCACGATGGTTTCCAGGAGGAACCGCGTTCATGTCAACCTGACTTGGTATATTGTTAGCAATGAGATCATCAGTCCACATTACTAACAATTCTCTTTCTCCCCTATATCATTATAATTATTATAACTATCGGAAGTAAAGCAGTGAATTAAAATAACTCAGACCAACGTTTGATATTTCATTTAAACTTCTACCGAACCGTCCGAAGACTCATAAAAAACGGGAAGTAAAGTTTTCTACTCCTTTTTTTATTTTATTTTGGCACGTAATAATCAATACATATACAAGTATAATATAAAATAACTAGATGTTTCCGCGACTTCGTCCGCGTGGAATTTAACTTTATTTTTCTAATATAAAAGTAGCCTGAGTTACTCGTTATTACATCAGTTACCTGCCTATCTAGAGATTAGCCGGAACAAACACAGACAAAAATTGTAAAAAAAATTTGGTGTATGTACCGTATTTACATTCACATGCATGTAATAAAAAACGGTTCCTTCAATATTACAAACAGACACTCCAATTTTATTTATATGTATAGATATGTACCTATAAATGTAATACTTAATGGTAATTGATGACAACACTTTCAAATATAGGAAGGATCTATTTGTGAAACAAGTTTCCCTAATTCGAAAGTAAGGACTACTTAAGTAAGTGACATTCTTTTATTTTTAATGTCATTTTATACCGTAATCTATATTAAAAATTTCGTTAAGTATATATGTATAGATTATATAAATCAAAAAGAACAAACAGTGTCTAATAAATAAATCTTAGTATACAGTTTGTTGAGTTTGTATATTTTTAGTTTGTATTGTTATGTATTGTTATGTATTGTTATGTATTGTATTGTTTGTTTGTATATTTTTAGTTGAGTTTGTATGTGTGTAAGAAATATAAATATCTGAGTGCTAATATTGTTGTGTGTTCGAATAAATAGTCGTGCAATAGATTGATGACAATAAAATAATTAGTAATTTAAGTAATAAAAAAAAACAAAGGAGTTTTTTTTTTATTACTTAAATTACTTTGAATTTGCTATTAATTTAATTTGAAATTACCTAACAGACTGTATACATATATCATTCTGCCCGTGTTTACCATTTAACACTTCATAAACACCTGAACCTATTTCGATGACATTTTGTTGATTATTCAACGGATTTATGGATGGTTTGTATCCACAATTACATCCAGTTGGTGGCGCTTCTTTCCGGTTAACATTTGTTAGGTTCTTTATTGATTAAGATTTGTCAGGTTCGCTAGTATTATCATAAATTAGCTATACAAGTACATTTTCTAAAATAAAGGTAGTATGTTACTCCATTATCTACCTGCCAATAAAAGTCCCATAAAAGTCGGTCCAGCCAATTCAGAGATTAGCCGGAACAAACATACAAAAATTGAAAAATGTTATTATATGTATGTACCGTATTTATACACACTCCAGACACTCCAATTTTATGTATATAAGTCCAATTCATCCAATTTTGTGTAAATGGAAGAAATCGCATTAGCGATAAGACCGCCTCA